CTGGCTGCTCTTGCAGAAGACCCAGGTTCAGTTCTCAGTACCCACATGGTGGCTAACAACCATCCATAACTTCAGTTCCAAGGGATCCAAACTCCAGTTCCAGGGACCCAATTCCCTCTTCTGACCTCCGCAGGAATTGCACAACATGGGTGCACTTACCTACATGCAGGCAATACATGCATACACATAAAATAAAAATTTTTTAAAAAGCAAAAGTTCTTAATACAATTATTCTTTACATTTATGTAATCAGTATGTATATGTATATATATACATATATATGTACACACATGTACACATTTACCCACACAATCGCTTCTCCTGTGATTTCTTCCATGTTAACAATTTTGGCCCCAATAGTATCAGTTCTGGAATTTACTACAAAGGAGTGAATTAATAGGACAGTCGTGTTCAATCTTAATTAACTTATGTCCATATCACTCATTTTAGTTATTTAATTGCTACAGCGATCTAGAGCCAATTTTGTGTTTTTGTTTGTTTTGTTTTTAAGCACTCTGAATAAGGCAAAAAAATACACTTGTTTTTATATCATTATAATGTACAATGTGAAAACAGATTTATAAAAAATTGTTTTCTGTCTCTGTTAACAAATGTCTTCTGACTGATGTGAGTTCACTGCTCAAGTGTGCTGGGTTCTGGCTTCACACCATGTTATAAAGATGCTTGGTTTTTATTTCCTGACCTTAGGCAACAAGAATACTTTGTTTTAGCTCTAGGTAGATGCTACTGAGGGCATCTGTGACCAAAACCAATCCCCACACACCAGTGAATTGATCAAATACTCTTTGGTCTGTGTTTGTTTGTTTTATTTTAAGGGGAAAACAAAATTGTTAATGGTGACCTGTAACTGCTGAGACGCTGAAGTTTATTTGCTCAGTTCGTGTCCAGGACAAAGCTATACATAGACAAAAACCACAAAGTCCATAGCTCTGCAGTGTATTCTGTCCTGATGTTTTCTTCAATGGATGTCAAGTTTTCTTTGCCCTAGTTTTCCCCAAAAGACAAGAAAGACAAAAGTAATTCAATGTTTAAAGTGTTCTGAAATTGCTTGAAAAAAGGTGCTTTGAATAGCAACTTACTGTGTTAAAACATTGCCTTTGGGCATTTGATTGGGTTATGACTTTTGTAAAGGATCCTAAAATCTTGTATTCTTTTTCTATGCCACGTGATGACCAAATGAGATAGGAAAGAGGGAATGACAGTAATAGAGAAATATTAGACTAGTATAGAAATATTAGCCTGATACAGAAACATTAGACTGAAGTCTTCAAGTAACAACCTTCCCTTCTTCCTCCTCACTCGTTTAAGCCTCCCTCTGCCTCTCTCTCTCTCCATATATATACATATATATGTATATATATATCAAGAATATTATACATATTCTTTCTCCCCTTCCTCTCCTTCCCTCTCTCCCTCTCTTCTACTCTCTCAAACACTGGTACCAACACTGAAAAACAATCTTACCATTGTTCTTGTGTTCATAATTATTATAATCACTTCCTCTAAACATGATCATGTTCTGTTAAAAAAAAATCTAAGGAAAAAAATCACTGGAGAATATAGGTTAGAGTTGTTTGGAAGTTGCTGATTATTTGGCTAGTGACTACGATCAGATAAAAACTATACTTAAGTACATTTATACTTAAAGCAGTCAAGTGAAATTTTTAACCTCATTTGGCACCGAGCTGAGAATTGCTCATGTGTAAAACCCCTCTGAAGAACAGAGTTATCATGGTTGAAACCAAATCTTCCCATAAGGAATGAAAATTTAAAAATATTCTTTAATGAGACCATTTCATATATTTGATTTCTGGAGTAGAATGTTCATTTAAAGGAAATTATCTTTACCATTTTATGGTCCATTTTAAGATATTTTCTTCATCCAGAAACTGTTACTTTTCTCAGAAGAAACCTCTTATATCTCACTTAAAAACATCAAAAATAATTATACTTTCATTATTCTAAAGGGTAAATTATTGAATTGTAATAAACAACTGTATATTTACAAACAGGTTTATAAAGTATTTGTCTATCAATTTAATAGTAAAATAAAACTTACGAGGTCTGCAAGGAAAAATATGAAACCCACTTAAAGTGGTTGAGCTTCTGTTTGTCTTGTAGGGCATAGGTGTTTGTTTAGCTTATACAGTATTTAATTTTAAGGCTCCCCAGGTTGAAGACGACATGTTGAGTTTCTTACCGACGGGTTCCCGTCCTCCCCAGTGTTTCTGTCACTGGTTCACTGAGACAGTATTTATGCAGCTCCGTCGGCTCTAAGCTCTTAGTCTTTCTAACATTTTTGGATTTTACAAATAAAAATTTTTTTAAAATGTTGAAAACTAGAAAAGAGACAATCAATGCCTGGAGCTTAAAACAAAGTACGTGCAAATGACCATCTCACTTGAAATTTAATAAAATAAATAATTGTGTAAATATAACATAGAGTTATAGATTTATATTTTGTTCATAACACATAGTGTAATATAAGTTGTATATTTTCATGTTTTTGGTTTTATGTTATCATTCATGCCACAATAAAAATAAAACAGGAGTTTATGTACTCTTAAAAAAAAAAAAAACCAAGATGTGGGTTCGCACCAACCTGTTTTTTGCTTTTTTGTTTGTTTTCGTTTTGTTTTTGCATTCTCTTTTT